GCTCTGGTTTGGCTTTGAGACAGAAACCACCGCACAGGGCTGGCAGGGTCCCACTGAGCGGCTGCCGCCGGCCTTGGCGCATGATGGGCACGCCCTGGAGTCGGGGCTCTGCTGCCCCGCTTGCTCAGGAAGGAGGGGCAGCACCATCCTGCCCGCTCCCACCGGGGTCCCTCCACTGGAAGGTGGCCCCTGGGCAGGGAGACGGTTCTCCTGCTTGGCTGAGTCCTGTGGAAGAGCAGGGCCACTGTTCCCGGGGTGGGAGGTGCCGGCTGGCTCAGGGGTCTCCAAGAGTGGACCAGGGGGGCCCGTGCTGGGAGCCAATCCTTATCCAAGCTGATGCTTGCTGGACACCTGCTGACCATCCCACAGTGACCCTGCAGGGCACAGGTGCTCAGCCAGGACTGGGGCAGGCTGGGGCGCCCGTGGGGGTGCTGGGTGTTCAGCCCCCCCTGCACACTGACCACAGGGAGCCCGCTCCTACGTGCCCCCTGTTCGCCCCTGCTTAATCTCTTGGACAGACGTTGCCAGATTTGGAATAAATCAGGACTCAAAAGAGCTCTAGTTAGGCTCTGCTCCCATGGAGCTCACGGTCTCGTAGGAAAGGCAGGTAACGATGCTCATCTGACCCAGAATGTTTAGTCAAGCTCTAGACGTCCCTTCTAGGGGACAGGGGACATGACACACAGGGGTGAAGGAGAAAGTGACCGTGGGACCTGCTGTGAGGCAACTCGCCTGAATTGTTCAGAAAACTGGCACAAGGAAAAAAGGCCAAGGACTCTCCCAATGAAGAGAGAAGATAGAGACACGACAAGCAGACGCTAAGTGTGACCCTGGCTGGGTCTGGGGTTGAATGAAGTTACAGGAGGCGGCAGGACATCAGGACGTGAGGGAGCATGGTGTGGAACCCGGCTCACCTTGCTGCTCACGTAAGGGAACGTTGTTTTTCCAAGATGCACTCTGAGCTGTTTGTCTGCAACTGACTCCCCAAAGTTGGCAACCACTAAACCCACGTGTGCATACAAGGTGCAGCTGTGTGGGAAGACGGACAGAGCCTGGCAGGCTGGCGAAATGTCGACCATCAGCGAACCCCAGGGGTTGTGCGGGCGCTCCCTGTTTGCAAAGGCTCAAGTGTTTTTAAATAAAACCCTAGAAAATTGGGGCACCTGGGTGGCTCATTCGTTAGGCATCTGCCTTCGGCTCAGGTCATGATCCCAGGGTCCTGGGATCGAGCCCCGCATCTGGCTCCCTGCTCTGCGGGGAGCCTGCTTCTCCCTCTCCCACTCCCCCTGCTTGTGTTCGCTTCTCCCTCTCCCACTCCCCCTGCTTGTGTTCCCTCTCTCGCTGTGTCTCTAGCAAATAAATAAATAAAATCTTTAAAAAAAAAAAAAACACGGAAATGATCACTACCGAGTTGTCTGTGATCAGCTGCGATGGGGACCATGGAAGCAGCCATGGGGGGGAGGGGCAGCCACTTGTTCTGGAAGCAGAGGGCTCCCTGGGGCAGGGGCAGGTCAGCTGTGGCCTGCATCGGGTAGGATGTGAAGGAGCCTGCAAATCCCCAGGGGCGGCCAGTGTGGCAGGTGCAGGGTGGGGGGGCGGCAGGTCAGGTGGGCCGTGGGCCCAATGGGGAATGATCCTAGGGGCCCTAGGGGCCCCAGGGGCCACCTGCACCCACCCCCGTCTGGTAGCAGCTGTTCCCTCCGTTAGGGAGCACTCCCGACCCCATCCTGGTCGCGGGGCCCCCTAGCTGGGCCAACTGAGCCACCCCACCAGGGAACAAGGTCAAGACCTTCCGGTGGCGTCAGCGAGAGCAGGGCTTGGAGGCTCTGGACAGTGAAGCTCTCTAAGGGGCCAGGTTGGTCATTCTGGGGCTGTGTTTGCCTGTGTCTGGCCGTCCCCAAGGCACTCGGCGGCTCTTCCAGGATGGCGGTCTTGAATCCTCTCCTCCCAGTGAGCAGGCTGGGGTGATTTGCAGCCTGAGCCGTGGTAAATGCACATGGAAAGGGGGTGCGGAGGCTGGGAGGAGCGTCCACGAATCCCACCCCCTACCCCAGCGTCACTGCAAGCCTTCTAGCTGACAGCCAATGATGGGGTGCAGCCCTGTGGCTCCACTCGGGGTTCAAGACCACGCTAAGCCAGTGTCTGGTGACAGTGGCAGAGGTGGCTGCAGGGGACAGCGATGGCCACATGACCTCAGAGAGCCTAGTGCACTTGGCATCCGGGCGATTCACTGCTTCTCAGCTTAAACAAACAGATCGGGCAAGTGGCTGATGACCCCCGACTACAAAGGCATCCAAAGTCCCGGGGCCCTGAAACATTTCCTTGATCCTGTCCAGAGCCCCCTCCCTCTGATGGTGGCTCTGATGTCCCGACACCTCCCTGTGGCCGGCCCAGCTTGGGAGGTGGTGGGGTGAGGGCGCCGGCGGGCAGGGGCCACGGGGTCGGGGACATTCCTGCAACGTCTGGTAGCGTCTGGTCCTGGTCTCCACCCCCTTCCTCGTGCGGTCTGTTCCAGTGGCGGCCGCTCCCCAGGCCGGTTCTCTGGGGGCACCGTGCACTCACAGCTCACGGGGGGTGTCTGACTGCCGGCAGCTCACGGGGGGGGGCCCATCTCATCCCTCTGGACGTCCCTCTGACAGCAGCTCCGTCCCCACTTCTGACCCGAGTCACCTGGTCGAACTAAAGGGTTGCTCGCCCGGATGCGCTGCCACTTTTCTGGTCTCCGCACCTGGCATGTCTTCATTCCTTCCGCAGCTTTGCAGTGTTCTTCTTCTAGTTCCTTCGGGTGGACAGAGGCATCAAGAGCTCTGGATCGCAGACATTCGTGGTTATCCAATGTCCCTGTGACACTGCCCCTCTGAAGGCTGGGCTGGCTGTGTTTCATCTCAAGGTGGCTCCTAATTTCACTCGCGATTCCTTCTTGGACCCCTTGGCTGTCGAGTGGCTTCATTTAACCACGTATTTGTTACTGTCGTTCCACGTAATGTGACACATTGTCGCAGCGAAACCCGTTAGTAACACCCAGCTTCCTTCCCTGTGGTCAGGGAAGGTGCCTGGCACCATCTGCATGGTTTTCATTTCTGTGCACGGGTCTTGCGGCCCCCAGCAGGTGCAGAGGCGCGTGTTCTGCGGGCGGGTGGTGGCACACAGCAGAGGACGTGACAGATGAGGCATAAGGTGGCAGCCTGAGAAGCCACCCCTCCCCTTGAGGATCCGAATGTCACCGGTGCCTCCCCCTTCCCCAAATGCACCCCTGTGCCGCCCGCACCTAAGTGCTGTGGGCAGTGAGTCCACGCCCGCGCCTTCCTCCTGAGCTGCAGCAGACGTGGGAGTCCCAGGAAATCCGAATTTGGTGTCGAGCTTTACTAAGATGGCATGGTCTTGTGTTAACTTCTGCACCTTGCTCTTTCACCCTGCATTATTTGAGGGGCGCCGATGGCGCTGTCGGGGCTATGGTCCCTGTCCCACTGCTATCATGTCTTGGCCTGGGTCCACCCTCCCGTGGGTGGACTTTTGAGCAGCTTGCACCCTTTGGCTCATCTCCAGATCTCTCCGTTCTGCCCAGCAGCACCCAGGACAATGTCCAGTGAGACCAGAGCATGCATGGCACCCCCGCTCGGCCTTCCCCTCCCCTCCAACCCCAGCCTGGCTATGGAGGACGGACAGAGCTCTGGACAGGCCCCACCCATCCCTGGGCCTCCCTGACCCCCCAGGCACTGGAGTGTGCTTCTATCCCCTCAGCCAGAAAGAGGCTGCAGAGACACTAAGGCCCATGTCTGGGTCCTAAGAGGCCAGTGGGTAAAGCCACCCAGGCCTGCTCGCACTGGACAACTCCCCCACCCCTGCCCAGCTTCTGGCACCCCACAGGCACTCCCCTTTCTCCGCCACAGGGCTCATCAGGCTCTCCCGCTGGGCCAGGAAGCAAAGCCCACCCAGGCAGCCGGTGCACAGCTGGAGGGGGGCCCTGCAGGACCGGGAGCCCAGGGCCACCCTCCCCGGGCCTCCTGGAACTGCTGTCTGGAGCCAGCCGGGCCTTCAGCCCTGGTCCCTCCCGAGGCCCCTGGCTTGACAGCTGGCTCCCTGCCCCAGGCACACCCACGCGAGGTGACAGGGTGGCACATGTGTCTCCTGGCCCTGGTGACACTTCACAGAATAGTTCTCCCACCGAAGCCAACTTGGAAAATTCCAGGGACAGGGAAATTTACCGTGAGGTGGGAATAGCCAGGTCTTGGCTGGGAACAGAGCCCCGCCCGTGTGGGGAGGATGGGCCGGGCGCGAAGGAGGGACTCAGCAGGCCCGGCGCGAGGGAGTCCTTTAATAGAGACGGGCAGACGGGGGACATGACTCGGAGGCTCCTCCTACCCCACCTGGCTTGGCCCCAGGCTGGGCACGGGAGAGGCAGTTGTAAAAAACACGGCGGCACTGATTCTTCACTTTCACGGAAAAGGGGACCTCGGAGGAGCCGCCCGCTGCAGAATGCACACACAGAGCAGAGTCGCAGCGCCCACACCCCGCTGTCTGTACCCAGGAGGGGCCGGGAGCCCGTGGGGTCCCTGGCAGCACAGGAGGGACTGGCCATCCACACCTCCTAGTGTTCCTACGCTATGTACATCATTGTGCTTTAGAGCTCCCCACCCCGCAGCCTTAGCCTGAAGCCGTGGGTGGGAAGAGGGGTCCCGCTCCCACCGCGAGCTCAGACTCCGGACAGAGCAGCCCAGCTCCTCGCCAGTGAGCCAAGGGGTTGTTGAAACAGAAGGGTCAACGCTGGACAAGATGCAGGCTGGGGGGAGCAGGCAGGGCTGGAGGGACCAGGGGCGAGGCACGAAGTTGGGGTAGCAGGGGTGTACGGATGGGGCAAAGCTGGGCTGGGGGGGACAGGGCTGAGCATCTCATCAAACACCATTCTGCAGCAGAGTGGGGGTCAGGGGGTCCACGCGCAGGCTCCTCCCCCCCAGCGCAGCTGCCTCCAGTGCTGGGGGGCGGGGGGCCAGGGCAGACGCAGGTGGGGAGGGGCGGGGCACGGTGACATCTGCGGGCGTGTCCCCGCCGGCTGGGTGGGGTCTACAGGATCAGTTGTTCTCGAAGAGAGAGAGCAGGTCGTCATTGTTGTTTGTGGGGAGGTCAGGTGGGCCCAGGTAGGACAGCAGTTCCTCGGGGTTGGTCAGCTCTGGGAGCAGCTGGGGACAAAGCAAAGCCATCAGCAGCTCTGGCCTCCGACCCACCACACCCCTGCATGGGACCCTGACTCTTAGCCTGCACGGGGCCTCTCCCTGCCGAAGGCTCTCTTTGACCACGAATCACTCCACTCAAGTTGTCCAAGGCCAGCCCGGGACACACGGTGCCGGCACGCCCAGGGCAGCGCGGGGGCCCCGGTGCGAGCAGGGCAAACGCAGGTGGAATGTCCAGTGTCCGCGACTCGCTGCTTTTGAGCTGCTCTAACTTTTCTCATGATGAACTTCAGGGAGTTTGGTTTATCTGAGTCGACGAAGGTTACCTGCGTCTTACACGCTGAGTTTGGCTCACACAGCAAGGTGAGTCAGACAGGTCAGCCCACACCCCGAGCCAGTGTGGTCAGCTCCAAGCCCAGTCTTCTCGAGTGCTCGGCATAGGCCCCCGGAGCCAACCCCGAGGCTACGGCAGGTACCCGGCACTCATCACGAGAGCCGATGCTATCTGCCCAGCTCTCCTGGCTCTGGAAGTCACTGGGGCGTCAGCGTCCTCCCTTCTATGAAGCGTGTGGACCCTGGAGACGATGCACACGCCGTCCCCAGCCCCAGCTCCCACGTGCTCCCCAGCTTGGGGCCCGTACTCACGTCCAGGGCCGGTTCCGGGGTCTCCCCCGCCCCAGACATGGGGGGCCCCATCACGCCTGTGGCTGCGCTGAAGGCCAGCTCGCCGATGGGGCCCGAGCTCACTGGGCCCAGGGGCTGCCGGGATGCTGGGGGAGGGTTTGGATGGTGCAGCTGGGGCCCCGGGGGCCCCCCAAGGCTGGGAGCGTGCAGCCCCTGTGGCCCGGGGTTGTGGGCCGGGTCCAGGTGACCCGCTGGTGCCATCTGAGGAAGGAGAGAAGAACCAGGTCAAATGGACCTGGGCCCCCCTCCCCGGGAGCCGGCCCCCCACTCTCTGTCGGCACTGACCTGGCCTGGGAGGCAGGGGGCAGCCTTCTCTGGTGTCAGGAGGCTGCTGGGAAGGTCGGACTGGTAGGAGCTGGGGGGCGGCCCCGCGGTGAACTCAGGAAGGGCCGGGGTGCTGGGCGTGGTAGGCGGGAAGGAGTCAGGGAAGGTCCCGGGTCCCAGGAAGCTGGAACCTGAGAGCAGAGCCAGTCCTGGGTGAGGCCTGGGGGCTGGCGCTTGGCAGAATGGCCCGGGGAGGGGGGCTCCCAGTGCTCTCTGGCACGCAGCGCCGGACCTTACATAGAAGGGCATCTGTTTTCATCATGGCCAGGGGAACGGGCCTCGCGACATTGCTCTGGGACCTGCCTCACCTAGACACACCCGCAGGTGGGGTCAGAGAGGGCCAGGCCCCAGAAGCGTGCTGACAGAAGGCCCCTGCTCCCCAGCGCCGGGGAGGGTGGGCCCAGCTACTGCCCACCCGACGCCGCATCCCCAAGCAGGCCCCCCAGGTACAGGACCTGCGCGGTGACACTTCACTGGTCTGAAGAGAACGGACCGTTTGCTTACGGCCATCCCCGTCTTGGGGCCAGGCCCACTGTACTCACCGTGGCCGGGGTAGTCGCCAGGGGCCGGGGCCGAGGGGGGCTGCAAGGGGGCGAAGGGGGCAGCCCCGGGGCCCAGGGCCGCGATCATCTCCATGACGCTGGGCATGAGCACATGTGCAGGGCTCACGGTGCGGCAGCGTTTCAGCACGGGCCCGTCGGGCTCCTCCTTGACGTGCACGTCGGGCTTCACGGGCACCGGCTTCCAGCTGCACGTGGGGTCGATGGTGATCTCCTCGTAATCGGAGCTGCGCAGGGACACACGGGCTGCTCACCAGGCGTCCTGCCGCCTCTCCCAGCCCTGGGGCCGCCCGGCACGCCCCCCCAGCCGTGCGGGGGCGGCTGTGGGTTCCGGCCACAGCAGAGCAGGGCGCGTCCCCCAGCCGTTCCGGGGCTGCCAGCTGCCGACCGCAGACCGGGGTGACAGGAAGACACTTACTTCTGAATGTAAATGAGGATTCCCAGCATGTACTGATCCACCTCCAGCCCCTCCAGCAACGCCGTCTTGCTGTCGAAAACCAAGGGGACGGGGCTTGGAGGCCTGTCACCTCTCCGTTCTGTCACTGAGCCCGAGGCCAACCCATGGGAAGTGACCGGTCATGAAGGAGACTGTGTGAGGTGACCCCATGACGCCTCTGCCCTGAGCGGCAGCATCCTCGTCTGTGCTGTGACCCCCTGAACCTGACTTGGGGTTTTCTTGGTGCTGTGGGCCGGGGCGGGGGGGGGGTCTGACAAGGGCCCCCCTGTGCCCTGGGCCCCTGTAAGGACCGTCTCGGGGATACTCACTTGCACACGGGGCACCTCCAGGTCCCCCGCTCACAGTTGAGCTGTAGGTAGGACTCCAGGTCGAAGCACTGTGGGGAGCATGAGAGATGGCTTCTCACACGGGGGCCAGGGGCGACCTGGCCGCACCCCGCGATCGAGCCGTGTGCTTCTGGGCTGATCTGCTCGCGTGTTGAGAAGCCATGTGTGCCAGGCTTCCCCTGGGGCGCCCCTTCGAACAGATGCACCCTGGGGACAGCCCACACGGTCCTCACTGGGACCGGGATGCCACGTGGCCAAAGAATCGGGCATCTGTGCTGGTGAGGGCCCACCTCTAGGACACAGCGTCCGAGAAGACACCGCGGCAGAGCCGCAAGAACCACACATAAGACCAAAACCCGTCCGCGCACGGGATCTCTGAGGGGCCGCTCCTGGGGTGGGAGGACCCCACCGTCAGCCTCACTGCCTTTCGAGGTGAGAGCCCGAGAATGCAGGGGAGTGGTAACTGTCCTCGGGGACGGGGGAGGGCGTGGGGGAGCCTGGTTACCAACGACACAGAACAGCCGACAGAAGTGCTGGCAGGGCTCCGCGGGGACCACCCACCTGGATGTGGCGGCAGTCGTGGCCGCGGGCGGGGAGCTGGATCCTGCGGAAGGTGATGGGGCACTTGAGGGACACCTTGATGGCCGTCTGCTCCACCCCGTCCTCACCGTTGGGCCCAGGCGTGCCGGGGATGGTGCCGCTGCTGAAGTTTCGTTTTACTGGTGTCGACAAGGGAGAGGAGCGGACTGAGGGGCTGCTGCCGGTGCCACAGCTCCGAGGCAGCGGTGGGGCTCGCCGCTGCCCCCCCAGCCCTCCTTGCCCGGGGTCCCCGTCGCAGAGGAGACGGCCTCGCTGCACGTGGGGACGTGCTGGGTGGCGGCTGGGGCCACTCACTCTTGGTGATGCAGTGCTCGGCGGGCAGGAGGCGCTTCTTGAGAAGACCCTGCAGCACCGAGCGGACGGATGGCCGGTGCACGAGCTGCAGCACGAAGAGGTGGGACTGCAGCGGGAGGAGCCGGTCAGGGGCTGCGGCCTGGGGGCCCGTCCTGCCCCGGAGCACCCCGCCCCTGACGCCGCAGGCCAGCCCGCCGGCATCTGAGAGCCCCCGGCCCGTGCGCCGCCCACGGCATCCCCCGTGATTCCCCAGAGCTGCCCGGGGCCCCAGTGCCTGCCAGGAAGGCTTTGGGGACAGGCAGCCCGTGGGGCTCCCGAGCCTCCTCGCAGGAAGATGGGCTCAGCGGCTTCCCAGCACTGGGCCCCCTCGTGAGCGTCCCGTCTAGTTAAGCGGGGAGGCTGCTGGAAACTGTGGGGCCAGGAGAACAGACCAGAAGGGAAAGGATGGGCCGGGGCTGGGGGGTTGTGGGGGTGGGGGTGCCAGTCCCGCGGGGGGGGGGGGGGGGCACTCACACAGCAGCAGGCTGTGACCGTGATCTGGATGGTGTTGCGGCCCGGCTGACACACATGCTTCAGGTACAGGGGCTTGTGGGACGTCTTGTTGTCGCCGCGCTCGATGGTCAGCGGGGTGGCATTGACGCTGACCTGCACCGAGGCTGGCCAGTTGGTGTTCATCTGCCGGTCCTCGTGGTGGTAACACTTGAACTGGAGCTCCAGGTCAGGCCTGCGTGGGGCAGGCGGGCAGGCGGGCGCTGAGCACGGGCCGGCGTGGGCAGGGGTGGGGTGGCACATGCCGGGCCGGACGCCTGCTCACCTCAGCATCAGGGTCTTGTAGACGGAGTCGCGGAGCTGGAAGGCGTGGTTGCTCACGGCCAGGTTGTGCTGCAGGCGGAAGGGCTCCAGGACCACCCCATCGCGCACAGGGAAGGTCAGCCGCAGCTCGTCACAGGGGCCGCTGCCTGGGAGCGGGCCGCGCTGGTGTGAGCCGGCAGCTGGTACGGAGGACATGGGGCTGGATGGCCCGCGGCGCACCCCCCCCCGCCCACCCCCACCCCATCACAGGGATGCAGGCCGCGGAGCACGGCCCCTCCTCCCCCATCTCCCTTGGGGCCCCTGGGGCCCCCTAGGACCCCGGGCCCGGCCATCACCTCCAACGGGAACAGGATCTTGGTGTCCCGCTGTTCCGTCCTGCCTCAGTCACCTGGCCAGGGTCCCCTAAATTATGACTGGAGAACATGCCCCCGACCCAAAAAGAGGGTGCCGCTGGTGCTTTCAGAAGGGGTGGGAGGCCGAGGAGGTGTGAACGAACCACCTGCCATCACCCCAGCGCTTGAGCCAGGTTTTTAGGACCCCAGCTTCTGCTGTGGCAGACTCCCCCAGAGCAGGGGGTTCCTAACCAGGAGTGGACCTCAGGGGACTCATAAACCCCCTGAAATGATACACAAAGCTCTTAGTGCATGCGTATTTTTCTAGAGAGAAGATCCACACCTTGGAAGATCCGCCAACAGGTCTGTGAGTAGAAGATGAAGGTGTGGGCTCCCCAACCCCCATGTTCTCTGCAGGACTCTGAAGTCCTGGGGCCCCAGCCCAACATCCTGAGAGCAGATGACACTCACCGGGGGGTGACGGGTGCACGGAGCTCACACTGGGCTTGAGGTCGGGCAGGAAGGGGGACTTGACCTCCTGGCTGGTGGACATGTAGGGGACGCTGCTGCCGGGGGTCATGGGCGGCGTGGGGCTCCCCGGCAGTGGGGAGCTGGGGTAGCCAGGGATGGAACGGGTGGGCTGTGGGGTCGAGCAAACAGTCAAGGCGGAATGGTGGGGGGTGAGGTTTGTTCTTGGAGCACCCGGGGCCGGTCAGGACAGAATCGGGCAGGGGGCAGCCCCGGGGGGGAGGGGAGGTCTGGCTGGCCACCCACACTTCCTCCTGCTCGGGCACCCTCTCTCCACATGCCCGCCCCGGGAGCCCCCCGCCCGTCTGCCCGTACCCCACTCAGGCCAGGCTGGCTGTAGCTGATGCTCCCCCCGCTGAAGCTGGCACCCTGCCCGTTGAACTGCTCTGCAGGCTGCAGGAGAAAAAACTGCGTGTGCCCAGGGCCCCCGCCTGCCCCCCTGTCCGGCCCCTGTGCTTGACCCAAGGAGGGGGCTGGGGGCAGGGCGCCCATGGCACACCTGGGCACTGGCCTCTAGTCTCTTTTTTGGATGATTTCTACATTTTGCAAATAATCGAGAGGGAGCTTGCAGTGCTTTCATAATTTACAAAATTACTACTCCAGGAAAAGAGATGACACCCCCCCCGCCCCCTGTTTAGAAGGGGTTATGAGAGAGCCAGAGAGAGGCTGAAAAAACACACCCCCTCCCCGCCATGCCCCCGACAGGCCTGTCCCCAGCAGGCAGAGGGAATATGGTCACCCTGCCCTAAAGGACATTCGAGTGGCTTGGGTGCCTACCCTCCCCCACCCCGCCCTCCCCGCTCCCTACAGCCAATTTCCAAGCAGACACACAAGTCTCACAGAGGGTCCTTTCAGAACCGGAACCCTGCACTGGTCAGGATCCCTGCGGAGCTCCAGGCTGCCTGGTCACCCTCCGTGCACCCGGGCCCACCACCTAGTCAGCCCGGGCGAGGCCTGTGTGTCTGGAGGCAGCCAGCACGGGGCCCAGCAGGGGCTGTGGCGGGCCGGAGGGGCCAACCCTACCTTGTAGTGCAGTCCTGCAGGGCCAGAGGCAGGCAGGGCCTGGCCCATGCCCTGCTGCAAGGGCAGCCGGTGCCCGGGGTAGGAGGAGGGGGCGGGAGGCTGCCCGGTGCCAGGCGCGTACTGGGTGGCGCTAGGCCCATACTGGCTTCCCGGCAGGTACTGCTGCCCGGGGTAAACCTGCAGAGAGAGGCACAGTCAGGGCAACGGGTGTCGGGGAGGCCATCTCCCAGGGAGGGTGCGGCGCCCACCCTGCCAGGCACAACCGGTTCTCACACGGACACCCGAGCTCGCCGCAGCTCTGGATGCAGCTTGGGACGAGGGAGGCCCGGACACTCACCTCGCTGGAGTAGGCTCTCTTGACCCCCTGTCGGGGCAGTGGCTGGGCCTGGGGGGGCCCAGGGTACCCGTGCTGGGGCAGGCGCTGCCCTGCATACAGGGGTGCCATGCCCGCTGCCCGGGTGGGGTTCATGCTCATGGGGCTCATGCCAGAGGGGCCCAGCAGCCCTCCCACGCCGGCAGCGTTCATGCTGCTGGGGACGCTGGGCCCCCGGGGACCTCCGTGCTGCAGGAACTGGCTGTTAAAAGCCTGCCCGGCCCCCATCTAGGGAGAGAAGACAGAAGCCACTCAGGCCACCCCCCTACCCTGTGGGTGCCACCCAGGGACCCCCTCAGGGCCTCGCCCCTCCCCCCACCTCATATCACTACACGCCCGTCCCCAGACTCCGACCCCAGCTGCCCAGCTGGCCCCTGCCTTCCAGACCAGCACACGTGGGCGGCACGGGAGGGGCGGCCGGGCCTCACCGCTCCGTACTGGCTCAGCTCCTGGCTCTGCTTCTCCTGGAGGGCGGCCACGGTGGCCGTGGCGGTGGCCGTGGCGGTGGCCGCGGCAGCAGCCACCGCGGCCGCCGCCGCCGCCTGAGTGAAATCGGTGGAGGGTCGTGTGGCGTGTGAGGGCAGACCCAGGCCCCCGGGCCCCCCGGGGCCGCCCGCATACCTGCGAGAGACACACAGGGCTGGGCTCAGAAGTGCCTACCTGCCTGTCACCCGGGGGGGGCGGGGCACATGGCACTTACTGGGGCCCCGCTCGTGTCTACACGCTCCCGTGGGAGCTCACAGGAGGAACAGAGACGCAACATTCAACAGACTGGTCCGCACAGGCCTAGGCACCTGCCAAGCCGGAAGCATTGCCCCTGGAGGGCTCCCAGCAGCCCTGCCTGGGGTGGGGGGTCCTGCTTACCCAGTAGTAAAGCCGGGGCCCCCGGGGTAGCCCCCGCGGCCATACACCCCTTGCTGCACGAAGCCCTTGCTGGCGGCACCCTCTCCAAATGCCTGCTGTCCGAGGCACTGCGGGGAATTCAGGGCAGAGCCGCTGCCGGCCATGCCAGGCATCACGGAGCTGCCAGGGGGGCTCCCTGCAGGGCCCATGGGGTTCCCCAAAACCTATGGGAAGCAAGAACCACCAGTGAGCACCATCCAAACAACTTACTTCATGCAGTCGCTCCAAGGAGAGGCCTGGGGTGGGGGGTGGGGGGGCAGAGGCGAGGGGAGAAGAGGAAGCGAGCAGGTGTGGGGCGCAGGGCGGGGGCGGCGTGGAGGCCAGAAGACTCCATTTCTCTCTGAGGTCCAGGGGGACCCTGGCGGCTCTCAGGGGTGGGCCCAGGTGTGGGCTCACCTGGCTCTGGGCCGCGTTGCCGACGCCCCACACGGTCGTGACGACCGACAGCGATCCTGCGGGCTGAGTGGCACTCTGTTGCCAAGGCACCGCCTCGTAAGCAAATGGACCATCACTGCGAGCAGAGAGGTGGGCGGGGAGGCCTAGGTCAGGAGACCCCTGCCTGGAAGGCTGAGCACCAGGAAGAGAGGTCCCGCTCTGCCACCCCACCCGCACCCACACAGCCTGAAGAGGGAGGGCGGCAGGAGCCCCACTCACCCGTGTGGCGCAGGGGGCAGGGCAGGTTTCACGGGGTGCATGGGGTTCATTGGCTTCGGAGCAGCCTAAAGGCCAGGTCTGTGGGTGGCAGGAAGTGGCCCTCACTGCTGGTGGTGTGAGACCCAGCTGCTCTGGCTGTGGGGACAGGAAGGAGGCCATCAGTGGAGAAGCAGCTGGGGGCTGTCAGAGTGCTGTGGGGGGGGCCCTGAGCACCAGGCCCCCCTTGCTCTGTGCCGACTGATGGAGGGCAGGGTGACACTGGTGTCTGAGGGCCACCTCGCCCCGTACTGCCCACCCCGGCAAACTTCTGTCCTCCTCACCCCCAAACCCCAGCCTGGAAGCCAGCATTAACCCTTTCTGGCCAGGCCCTGCCACTCAGAGCCCCTGGAACGGCTCTGGGAGCAGGCTTCCTGAACCCAAATACCTTCCATGCTCCCACTCCTGCGCGAAGGCCTGGATATCTGTAAACGGTAGGGAGCACCCAGGACCTGATTGCCAGAATTCCCCAAGAAAGCCCCAGGGTGGAGGGAGCCCGGGAGGAGAGTGGAGAAGAGCAACCGGCGGGGCACCGAAGCCTGCCGGCTGCAGAGGGGGCGCTGGTCACCAGGGGTGAGAAAGCTCAGCTGCCCTCCGCCCTGGCCGGGGGGAGGGGAGGGCAGGCCGCCTGCTGCAGCAAGTCCGCCGAGAGCTGCTCTGGGCGAGGGGGGCCACCTGGGACTGATGTGGGCACAGGGCCAGGCGGGCAGCCCTGACCCCCACACAGAGTTCCCCAAAGGGGAGGGATGCACACACAGAGCCATGGGCAGAGGGTTGGCAGGTGCCCGTGGACATGGCAAAGGGCCAATGGGAACACAGCAGCAGGACTGGTGAATGCTCGCGGGACCCGTGTGCCCATGCTGTGGGGCTTCTCCTACCCTGTGAGGCTCGCGCTCTCCCATTTACTGTCTCAGGAAAACCAGCGAGGGGAGGCCAGGCCACTCATGTCCTCAGACACCCCCAAAAGCAAGCCCGAGCCCTTGCTGGCACCGCTGGGGCCACCTTCCACACCTGCTTCTGCCTGGCCTAACCGCAGACGCATGCTGGTGATGGGTCTCAGCGGGTGCCGTGGAGGTCCTGGATGGGGAGGCTGCACCCCGCCCTCTGGGCGTCGAGGTTCTGTCCTGGAGCACCACTGCCTTTTTGGGGCTGCGAGGCCACACACACACACACACACACACACACACACACACAGACATGTCACCTGGGACAAGCTAAACTCTGGTGGTTCAGATCTGCCACCTCAGCACTCATGGGGCATCCCTCTGGCCCAGGAGCAAAAAAGTGGCTCCAGCACCCACCTAACCCCGAGACTCACATTCCTCAGTGCTGCCCAGGCGCCTCAAGATGATCATGTCCTCTGGCAATACAGTCCTGGAGGAGAGTGGGGGGTGGGTCCCTCAGCGGGGACCCAGAGCAGGGAAGGGGTATAATGGGGACTGTGATCCACAGCCTCCCACCACAGAGCACTGAGGTAAGTGGGTTCCGGAGTTGCAGCCGGGCTGGGGCTGGGGCTGGGCAGGAGGGGGAGGGAGAGACAGTCAGGCTTGCCTACCCACAGCTGGCTCTGCTTCCCTTCCCCCCCCAGAACAGGTCCCGCTCAGGAAACAGGGGCCAGAAAAAACAGGGGTCAGTGGGTCCAGAAGGCTCCGGGCCCCTGGAATCTGGGCAGAGGCAGGCGTGGGAGCCAGGACTACACAGCCAGGGAAGGGAAGGCTGGGGTCCCTGTCCCTACTGTCCAACTGCAAGACGGGGACAGGAGAGGGGGTATGGACGGACAGACCTGACAACAGGCCGGGCCAGTGGAGCAGACCAGAGAACCAGCTGATCTCTGACAAAGGTCCAAAAACCACGCACTGAAGGAAACCTGGCATTTCAACAGGAGGTGCCAGAGTCACTGAACTCCCACAAAAAAAAAAAAAAAAAATACTAATCTTCACATCTTGTATAGAAATTAACTCAAAACGTGCCACAGATTCAAACGTACAGCACAAAGCTATAAACCCTCTGGAGACCCCTGGGAGCAAATCTTCGGGATCTAGAGCCAAGAGTCCTTACACAATATACCGAGAGCACAGTCCTTAAAAGGGAAAACAGAACTCTGTGGGAGGCTCGGGGACAGGATGAAGCTACAGTCCGGGAGCTGCGTTTGCAAGCCACTGTCCCTGACAAAGGACTAGTATCTAGAATATATAAAGAATTCTCAAAACTCGAAAAAAAAGTCCCGCCCAGAAACTGGGCAGGAGAAAGACATTTCACCGACGAGGTGGTACGGATGGCAGGTCAGCGCGCGGAGAGGGGTCCAACATCACGGCCATCAGGCAAGGGCGGAGTGAAGCCACACGGAGCCCTGGCCACACCCCGCTCGGCGCCCAATGCCAAGCCGGCGAGAACCTGGATCTCATCCCCACTGCAGCTGGGAAGGGAACAGGGAGCAGCTACCACGCGACCCAGCGGAGGCACTCCTGAACATCCATCTCCGAGAAATGTAAACGTCCGTTCACATAAGAATCTCTGTGTGCCTGTCTCCAGCAGCCTTCCCGGGCACGGCTCAAGGCCGGCCCCACGGCTGGGGACCAAACCCACCGGAGGGGCACCCACAGCCCTGGGGGCACGAGGAGGCAGTAGCCTGCAGGAATCTTGGGGGACCGTGCTGCGTGGGAAATGCCAGTCCCCAGAGGTTCCACACGGTAGGATTCCTTTTATGGAACACTCCTGAAACGACGGAATCCCAGAAATGGAGAGCAGAGTGTGGCTGCCAGGTGGGGAGGAGGGAGACAGGTGGGAACGGAAGACAGGGAAGGCAGTATCTGTGTCTTGACTGTCGCCACCGCGCCTCCTGCTGTGACGTGTCCTAGAGCTTTGTAAGATGTCACCACTAGGGAAGCCGGGTAAAGGACACAAGAGGTATTTCTTACAGGTGACGTGAATCTATAATTCCCTCAAAATTAAAGTTTAGTGGAAAAAAAAAAACCACCGCCGCCAGCTGGCCCTCTCCACAGAGATGCCCGTGGCAACCCTTCCCTACCCCCAAGCTGCTTGGGTTGAGTTGGCCAGGCCTGCTCTGGTCCCAGAAGCAAAGGCTGGAGTCCCCGGGCCAGAGGTGCTTCCCCAGCTCGGGCTCCAGTACATCAGACTCACCTGGAGGGCTGGAGCCGGAAGAGTTTGTGGCTGAGGATGCTGCTGGTACAGGGACCCCAGTTTGAGAGCTGGGGATGCGGGGGTGGGGCAGGGCCTCTGTGGAGGCTACTGGTCTGGGGCCCCCAGCAGACTCCTACATCACATGGTTGGGGGAATTCCACCCCCAAGACTTCTCTGCTGTGGACGAGACCACAGACGTTTCCAGTTCCCCTTGAGCCGACTGCTTGCGCGCGCGTGCGTGTGAGACTTCCTGCCAAACTACGTCTGGTCTCCTCCCTGAGAAGACCCACTCTCTCCAAGTTGGGTACCCCATGACCCTCTGCTCCCAACAAAGGGAGAGGGGAGCTCTGAGTGCAGACCCTCCTCCCACTTCCTGGCCTGGAAGGCAGAGCTAGGGAAGCCCGGGGCCGGGGGGGGGGGGGGGGGTGTGTGTGTGTGTGTGCACGCGTGTGTGTGCGTGCAAGGAGGCCTGAGCAGGCCCCTGGCGGCTTTTGCTGGCCAGAGGTTCTCCTGTGCACAGCTCCAGCAGGAAGCCAGGACCCCTGGGCAGCACCGCCCTGGCATGCGGTTAGCCTAGAAGGCCCCACAGCTTTCTGCGGGTCAGGTCCCATCTTCCTCCAAAACACTCACTACTCAGACCCCTCTCCCCCAGGGGCTCAGAGCAGCTGCACCCAGTCTCCCGCAGGCTAACCAAAGGCAGACGTTAATGTGGGTCACCCCTCTTCCACCTCCACTCCGTCCCTGCTGCCTGGTCACCCAGGAGGAGCACACCCCATGACAAGCCACCTGATCTCAGGAGGACAGGCCTACTCCACGGTCCCAGAGCAGAGAGCCCGTGGTTCCAGGGAGTGTCTCCAACCAAAGGGACACGGGAGTCCACCAGACTCAGAGAAGGTATAAATGATGGCTCCAGGGAGACAGGACGACACAAGGCGGGGACTCATATGCTCAGGTGACTGCAAGTCCTGCAGCTCTCCTTGTGAGGCCACAACACCGACCAGCGTAAGTGCTAGTGCTCATCCCAAACCCCCGGGAATGAGCATTTACCCACAGCCCAGACTCAGGACGCTTCAGGGAACAGCTAAAGCATTTCACTGCTCTGAGCCTCAGTTTACAATGTGTACAATGGGTACACGGTGACCATCCTGGGATTGAGGAAAGGCAGGGGGACACATGCCCGCCTTTATGCTCTCAGCCCTGACCCCTGTAGTGGAGGCAGCTACCAGTGGGCACTTCATGGGGAGGCCTGGCTGCCTGTCCTTCATTACCTCCCTCCTCCCCGACTTCTACTCCCAGCCTCTGTAACCAGCCCCTGGGCATGACAAGTCCTCGGGGCCAGTACCCACGGGGTGAGGCTAAGACGCCCTCTGGGATCCTGGTACCCCTCTCAAGCCTCTTCAACAGAAGCCCTCTGGCTCTAGCAGGCCAGGATTTGGTGGGTGAGTCTGTGTTCACCCACTCTGCATCCACCACCGTCTTACAGATCAAGTCACATGTTCTGTGTATGTCCCTGTGAAATCTTCTCCGATAACACAACCGACTTACAGACGGGGCCACGGATGTTGGCAACTCTCAGGAAGAGAGCAGGGCAGGGGTGGGAGCAGGATGGGGGGGGAGCAGGGCAGGAGGGAAGCAAGTGGGGGGGTGAGGGGGAGCATGGCAGGGAGAGAGCAAGTCAGGGGGCGGTAAGGGGGAGCGGGCACCAGGGCAGGGAGGGAGCAGCTCATGAGGGGGAGAAGGGAGGGTGGTCGGGAACAGCTTAGAAGGAGAAAGAGGAGGATGAAGGGAGCAGGGGACCCTCCCGCCTGAGCTTCAGTACGTCCGGCTGGGCAAAGGGTGTCCCCACGGAAACCAAGGCCAGAGGCTGAAAGGTCAGCCAGCGTCGCCGCCCCCGGGGCAGATCCGCGCGGGTCCCACATCGCCTTGCCGGTGGGCGCGCACGGCCCAGAGCCAGCC